GTTGTGTCATCTTAAATTAAAAAGTTCAATGATGATGTGACATTACCTTATGGTGACATGTTAGCTTCATTGTCAATTTTTTAACGATGAGTGATCAAAATGAAATCAATACATAACGGTAGTTATGATTTTGAAATAAAAAATAGTTGGATGACTAAAACATAACACAAGTAATAGTTGGGTTCTAAATGTGTAGTTTACTCTAGATTTAAAAGTTAGGAGATAAAATTTTGAATTTGAATATTTTTTAAATTTAAAAAATACCTAATTAAAAATTTTAAATAAACTACCAAATAAAAAAGTAAAGTGTAATTGTATCATTAAAGAAAACTAGATATTTAAGTTCACCTTTAAGAAAGTTAAGTGCCTAACTAAATAATAATAATTACCAAATTATACATTAATACTAAAATTAAGTCCCAAAAGTGCAAAAATTCGAAACAAAATTTTAAATTCTGAAATGAAATAAAAAATTCAGAAAAAATTATATATTTGGTATTTAAATTTAATCTATTTATATTAACATTAATTTTTTTAATACACGAATCAATTTATCTCAATGATTTTCTCCTTAATAATTTCAATGGTGAAGGCAAAGTGCAGCAATCAAGAGCAAAGCCCTGGCTTCTTCCAAGTCAAACTCCCCGCACAGGCGTGGATCCACCAATGCCGCCACTTTCTCCTCCGCCCCATGTTCGTCTATGCCCCTCAAACACGGTGCCATGATCGAAGTCAATAGATGTCCCCTCACCGGACAAAAGGCCTTCATCCCCGTCACCAGCTCCAACATGACCACGCCCAAGCTGTACACATCGTTCTTCTTGGAGGCCAGCCCTGTTCTCAGGTAATGAGGGTCGGTGTACCCCGGTGATCCCACCATCACTTGCTTCAAACACGAAGGCGGTTTCACCGTCGACGAGAATCCCATCTTCGCGGACCCGAAATCGCACAGCTTGCAATTGAAATACTCGTCGAGCAACACGTTTGATGGTTTGATGTCGCCGTGGACTATTTGGAGGCTGCATTTTTCGTGTAGGTATTCTATGGCTTGTGCTAGTTGGAACGCTATGGCGACTCGGGTTTTTCAGGAAAGTACTTCGCTTTCGTGTAGTTTCTCCTGTAGGTTCCCATTGGTAACGTACTCGAACACCATGGCACCTTCATCTGGACACACAAATTAATCAAGTTTCAAACAATAAACAAATAAAACACGAATTTATCAACCGATTTTAGTGATTTAAAATATAATTGCTTCTGTAGGATGAACACATTGTCTAGTTAAGAAAGATTATGAAGAGAATTGAGCAAACGAGTCATGAAACGTACCGGGATCATTGCAGTAACCGAGAAGCTTGACGATGTTGTCATGTCGGAGACGGAGCAAGATGTCGTGTTCTTGTCTGAACACTTGATTGAGTCGATCGCTTCCGCATGGATCTTGACCGCTCCTTGTGAACCAGACAGGTTAGCCAAGTAGACATTGCTATAACCTCCACGACCGATCACACGGGAGAAATCTTTCGTGACGACCTCAATCTCTTCCCATCTGAATTTCCTGATAAACACTTCATCTTCATCAACGCTGCCGTCTTTTCCCTTGTTCTGATCCGCTCGAACGGTTGACGGTGACTCACAGCACCCGAGTTTGAAGCATCTCGGCCACGACGACACTATCGCAAACGACAGGACAAGAGAAACCTTGGATCAGTGAAGAGGCATTTGGTTTGGTGGCAATAAGAAGACAGATTTCGGAACCTTGGTTCTTGTCAATAGTCAATGGCTAAAAGATGTGACCATTGGGATCGAAGCCTCGTAGGAAAGCCAAACCATTTCATTTTTGCATAAATAAGTAGTAAATAAGCCCTTCAAGTAGGGGTGTATTCGGTTCGGTTCGGTTCGGTTCGGTTTTTTACCAAAAATTAAACCGAACCGAAATAAACGAGTTTTCAATATTTAAACCGAAACCGAAACCGAATAGTTAAAAAACCGAAAAAATCGAAACCGGTTTTTTCGGTTCAGTTCGGTTTTTTTAACGGTTCGGGTTTTTCGGTTCGGTTTATCGGTTTTTCAATAAAAAAATCACTTGAAACTATAATTTTTTTTACAAAAATTGCCTATTCGGTTCAATATGGAACAAATGGGTTCCATATAGAAAACCCGAACCGAACCGAATCAAAAAAATAAAGCCTTTAAATCAAACCGAAAACCGAACCGTTTAAAGTCAAACCGAACCGAACCGAACCGAACCGTTTTACTCGGTTCGTGTTGGTTTTTCGATTTTCTCGGTTTCGTTGCTCAGCCCTACCTTCAAGTATGATTTTCTAATAAAAAAATTGAAGGTGATGCATGTTGGGATGAAAAATAATTCGTGTTAGATCGTTTTTGACTCAATATGATAGGTTCAAAGAGAATCTTATTTTCGGTAGTGTTATTTTCGGCAGTACAAGGGTGGTAATCCTTCATTGACTGTAACCGACTCTCGAACTCGACACATTTCTGGTAAAACGCAGATAAGGTAAGATGGTGTCCGATCCACCTAAATATCGTTTTCAAATGATTGGTGGCGACTCTAACTCAATTATTCACGTCTAAACCCAATTCTAGGCCCAACCGAAAGACGACCGCGACAACTTGGCGACTCCACTGGACAGGTAAGTGAGTCAGGCCGAAATTAATTTGCGGTTGTCTTTTTAAGCGAAAATAGTAAATTTAAACTTTAATTTATTTATTTGATTCCAATTATTTATCTTTGATTATTTTTCAAATAAATAGTTGTACTGACGTTTTTCGCAATGATTTCAAATTTTTAAAATTTTCATCTCAAGCTCTATACCGAGCTCCAAACCCTGTTTAAGTGGAGGGTAAAAGCGACGCCTTCGTGAGAATTTATTCTCCGCACAGGCCTAGCAAGTAGCATTCGGGATTCATATACCTTATGTCTTCGTGTGAATTTATTCACCGTGCGGGCATAAGGGAATGTATCCTCTCGAGTTTAACTTAGTCCGCATGAGGTTGTAATGGGCTCAGGACTAAGGGTCTAGCAAGCCCAAGGGGCACCGGCAAGGAGAACTCGGGTACCTTTCTTTAGAACCTAAACCAGAGACTACAGGGAATTAGAGCACACTCCAAAACCTCATTTCAAACTCTAGGCTGCTTTGATATTATTTACTGCTTTATTTCCTGTTCAAAGCACGTGGACTAGAAATTTATGCAGTTAAGACTGGTTCAAAATTAATATGTGGGATAGAGATCATGTCCGGGTAGGAATAATAAACATGTGGGGTAGATATTATGTGGGGTATGACTTTTATTTTCATTATTGTTTTGATTCTTATCCTTACCTCACTAACTTTTTTTATTTTTGTTCTCTTTCACTTTATTTTAATCATTTGCATCATTCAAAAGAGGTGTTCATCCACTAAAATGTATTCGTTAAACGTAAATAATTTGCATTAATGTACAAAGAGGTTATAATACAAGAGATGAAAAGCTCAGAAGTCCTCCTATGGTCAGAAAAGACTTAGAACATACCAGGATTTACACCGAGCACATCAAAAGTTGACCTTTTGAGTTGCAAAATTTGCAGGGGCAAGAAGAGAAAAATATTACTGACCTGGAGAGTCATTTTCAAAGACAACAAGAAAAATATGACCAAAACGATAGCTGAAATTAGATGTCATTGTTGACGAGTTTCAGATAATTCTCATCAATGGAGGGTTCCAATGGTGTTTCCGTTAGGGAACAGACTCAACAGGGAGTGAAAACCAGAGATGTAGTGATTCGAGACTTCTTGTGACAAGTACGAAAAGCAGCTCAGAGAGGTCGGAATGGTTCGACAGGGTACTCAACCGATGACGGAAGAAGGCGGAAGATGAATCAACCCGTCATAAGCTGTTTGGGGTCTAGAAGAATATACCTTTAAAATGTTTTTTATCTCTTAAAAATAACACTTTTGTCCCCAATAAGAATTATTTATAATAACAGACACATTTTTAGATCAATACCTCGAACAATGCATGCATCATGCATTTATACATATTTTGCATTTTATTATTTTCATTTCTTTACATTCGCATTAACTAACAGAAGCATGTCTCATCAAAAGGAACAAATACTGAATATATCACCTCAAGCATTGGACACGCTCCATCTGCATAACACCCGCGCAAAAAAGAAGAAGATAAAAACAAAAATTGCTCAACTCGAGGAGAACATGTTGAAGCTATAGAGAGAACTAGAAGATAAGATATCCCAGAACATTCAGAGTACCCTGGATCTCCACGCCGCCATCTGCTTCTTCCTACGTGGCGGAGGAGGTGGCTGCCGCCCTCGGTAACCAGCTTCCACAAACCAACAAGAGCTCCAGCAGAGAAAGTCTGTCCCTGCAGCGAGCATAGTTGAAGCTCCGACGGTAGTTTACTCGACGGGGATGAAACTGGTCGGAGCAGCGGCCGAGTGTGCTATTTGCTTGTCTGGGTTCGCGGAGGGAGAGGGAATTCAAGTGTTGGCAAACTGTGGGCATGGATTCCATATACATTGTATACAGAAGTGGTTGGCTTCTCACTTCTCTTGTCCCACTTGTCGTTGTAGCTGTCTTTCGCCGTCTCTGTCATCGAAAGAAACTTCCAATCGATGCATAAATAGTATTCCCCAACCAATGATGCCCCAGCAGGGACCATAGCAGCTTTGGTACTGCTTATCTGTATATGTAAATCTCCTGCTACATTTTTTGGTAGTATAAATGTTCGGTTTTAAATCTAGATAAACTTGCATACAATTATAAACTCAAATCATCTAACCCGAATCATCTAAAGAGAACAACGTTTCCTTTACGATTTCTTTAGAGTTTTTTCTTAAATCTTCATTAATCGATTAATCCAGATTATTACAAAAAGCCATTACAAAGAAGAAAACTTACATGTGATTGAGAAGACCATGCAACAATTCTATCCTTCATAGAATACAACCGTCTATATGTTACACTACAGAGCACATACAATATACCATATAATCATACCTATAAACCATGTCTCATACATTTATCATGGGATGAAAATGAGACACCAAATGGACCGACTGAAAACCAAGCCAAACCGACGATATCGGAACCCGAAAAATCCAAACCACAAAATGCAGAAGGAAACATCAAAACAACACCAGCACATATCTAGAAGCACTTCCTGTGAACGATGGCAGGCCCGGACTCGTCGTACTCTGCTTTCGATATCCACATCTACACACAGCGTTTAGAGTATGGAAAGATTAACATTGTCCGAACTATGAACAACCAATCCACATATGAATAAGAAGAATTTCATCTAAGGGAATAGCAATATTATCGGAAGCATTCAACAGAAAGTTCAAAGCACATTAGGCATTCCACCGATTTCATTCTTGAACTTTGGATCGATAGTTCAGCTCGTCGAAGGGAGACTGAAACCTTTCAGCTCATCGAAGGAAGCGAAAGAAATAAAACAACCACCTAAGCCTTAACTAGAGAATCAAAATTAACTAATGGCATTAGTTCCTTCGTTGTTTTCTTTCTTCATTTAACAATGTCATTTGATGCAATATATCTTGTGAAAGCAATATAAACATAACCAATACCTGCTGGAATGTACTAAGAGAAGCCAAAATAGACCCACCAATCCAGACACTGTACTTCCTCTCTGGGGGTGCCACCACCTTGATCTTCATACTACTCGGTGCAAGCTCCGTGATTTCCTTGCTCATTCGATCGGCAATACCGGGAAACATGGTGGATCCGCCACTAAGCACTATGTTACCGTACAGGTCCTTTCTAATATCGACATCACTTTTCATGATGGAGTTGTGGGTGGTCTCGTGAATTCCAGGAGCTTCCATTCCGATAAGAGATGGCTGAAATAAGACCTCAGGACAACGGAAACGCTCTGCTCCAATGGTTATTACCTGACCATCAGGTAGCTCATAACTTTTCTCAATTGATGAGCTGCTTTTCGCAGTTTCAAACTCCTGCTCATAGTCGAGTGCTACATAAGCAAGTTTTTCCTTGATGTCACGTACAATTTCTCGTTCGGCAGTTGTGGTGAATGAGTAACCCCTCTCTGTAAGGATCTTCATCAAGGCATCTGTTAAATCCCGTCCAGCAAGGTCGAGCCTGAGGATGGCGTGGGGAAGTGCATAACCTTCATAGATTGGAACTGTGTGACTGACCCCATCCCCAGAATCCAACACAATACCTGGGAATAACAACATTATCCACAAATCAACAACCGGTCATTGAGAAAAATCATGTTGTCTGAAGTGAACCATCATGCAAATACGAACCTGTAGTACGCCCACTAGCATAAAGCGATAGAACTGCCTGGATTGCAACATACATCGCAGGAACATTAAATGTTTCGAACATTATCTGTGTCATTTTCTCCCTGTTGGCCTTAGGATTCAGAGGCGCTTCAGTAAGAAGCACAGGATGATCTTCAGGAGCAACACGAAGCTCGTTGTAGAAAGTGTGATGCCAGATCTTTTCCATGTCATCCCAGTTGCTAACAATACCATGTTCAATAGGGTATTTCAAAGTGAGAATACCTCTTTTAGACTGAGCCTCGTCCCCTACATAGGCATCTTTCTGCCCCATCCCCACCATGACACCTGTGTGCCTCGGTCGTCCAACGATACTAGGGAAGACAGCCCTCGGAGAATCATCTCCGGCAAACCCAGCCTGTTTGAGGAAATAACGGATCTTCAATCTTCAAACTTAAAGTGAAAAACAAAGGCACCAGAAAATAAATATCACATTGTTCTCACCTTAACCATTCCGGTACCGTTATCAACAACAAGAGGCTGGGTTTCATCGCTATCTGCCATACTTTAGATCGACCTATGAATAGAACACAAGCAGATAATAGATTTGAAGAATATAAAATAAACTTCCCTGAAAGACATTAAAAGGAAGAAGGTGATACTTTGCAATAACATAAAATTGCTAAAACTTCACAAGCAGAACTCATTTATATGACATCTTGAGTCAACACATGTAGGTGGGGAAAAACACATCCAGACAACGACAATAAGCCTATAAATTTATCAAACACAAGGAAACTGTAAATCGGGCACATATAGAAGCTGGTGTTTTAACTAAAGCTTCATTGCAGTTCTTAGCTCAGACAGCAATCCAGTTACAGATGTAACTCTGATTGTTGTATATCCTTCGGAAACCACGTCTCCGCTGTCATTCTTCCAAGCTTCCGAAGATCCTCAAAGCCTCCAGAGTTTTGTATCCTATGGACAGCTAAAACATCTTGACGTGACCACCGATAGACCCATGTGATCTACAATCCACTATCACAACCAGGTCTATATAGTCTTTCAATCTACACGGTCATATCACTCTAGGACGGACACCGATACTAAAAGTCATTATGTAAGTCGCCAAATTAAAAATAGAGATTTTCTTTCTCCCCAGCTTTCCATCTCCTTCGACGACTGTCCATCGTCATCTTCAATCCAACTGCTCTCTATTTCCCCTTCACCAAGCAACCAGTTGCGTCTCTCCGCCTAAAGCCCTAAACCATAAGAAGTGAGCCGCCACAACCCAACTTTTCCCATCAACACCAGTCATTTTTAGCCGCTAAAGGTTACAGTTACTGGTAAGGACCCAGATCATAAAAAATCCACATAAGCAAGCTTCTCAAGCACATCGATCAGGAGAGCAATATTCAAACAGATCATGATAACCAAATTGGTTCCCATAGCTACTCTTATAGACAAGAACTTTACATGATACAACTTTTCACATGCTCTTGAAATCATAAAACGAAGAAGTGCAACTCAGAGATGATAATCCACAATCGAAAAAAATGAAAGTGCAAACGATAGTTCATAACATACAGATGGGAGCAAAAGAAGAAGAACAAGTTTACCTGAAAACCCCATAAAATTTGAAGGCAAAGATGAAAGGAACAAGAAGAGAGAAGGAGCAAACCTGAAATGAAGTGACGATGGAAGGCAGGGAAATGGCAAGAATGAAGAAGGGAACTCTAGAATAATGGGGTAGTGGCACAAGCCAAGTGGACCGCTCCTACCTTCTTTTTCATGGCTATCTTTTTCCTCACCGAGTACAAGTATCTCTTGTGTTTCACTTTCCACAAATACTTATTTCATTTTTGCACGACCATAGATTTTTTTCTCCCTTACGAACATTTTTAACATAAAATGAATTCATTACTAAAAGAATTATTATTATTTTTTAATATTTCGAGTTCGAACATTGAAAGTATTAAGAATGTGAACATATAACATTAAATAGTTGATAATTATCTTTCATCGTATCTTATATTTACACTAAATTAATAAAAAACATAAAATTATAAAATTTTCCAATACGCAACTATATTAAATGCATAATTAATTTTGCTTATGTTACAATCTTTTTTTTCAACTTTCTCTCTTTTTATCTCAATTTTTTACATTAATTCCAATAGTTTGTCTTGATGCCACGAGGATTGCTATAGACTTTATATAGAGATAAGTCCAATAATCTAATTTAATAATAGTTTAATAACCCCGATGAGGGTTGATATAAATAGTTGAGAATTTCTGAATTTTAACTTATAAGGTTAAGTTTGAATCTTACCACCGTTATTCTTAGTGAACAATCTGTAAATTCCTATATAAATTCAACTGGATCTTAGGTATGCCCTGGTCTTAGATAAGGGGAGTCACCTTTAACCTAAATTTTTCATAACAAAAAAAAGTTAATAGTTTGATAACGTTCTGCAGTTATTGTTTAAACTCGAAATTTTTATGAAAAATAAATTTCTCTCAAATCACTAAAGTTATTTGATGGATTCATAATTATATAATTTTTATATAAAAATATTATAAATGTGTGAAATTTTGAATATATTTATAATAAAACATTATAAAGCACTCTTGTGACTGGTTTATCAGTGGATACTGGATTATCATCATCATCTCCGGAAACAAAGCTGTCCCTTCTTTTGCCCCAAATTACAAAGTAAAGCCCCAAAACAATGAGAAATGCTCCAACCAAGCTGGAAAATCCCACAAATTAGACTAGGGGTGTCCAGACTTCAATTTTAATTGAATTAATCGATTGGATCTAATTTTTTTCCAGTTAATTGACTCACTAATTTTAAATCTTAGAAATCTTGATTGACTAATTTTAAGTTCGGTTGTTGATTTTTTTTCGAACTTCGATTATCAATTAATTCAGTTAATTAACAAAATTAACCAATTAACCAAAAATATTAATCGATTATTGATTATATATATTATTTTAACTGAGTTAATCGACCGAATTAATCGAATTAAACAAAAATATTAAATATTTGATTTAAGGGTTATTTTCCCAATTTATCATTTTCGCCCCTATAGTATTTTCACATCAATTTAGCCCAAGAAGTTATTTAATTGCATCATCCTAAACCCTGAACCCAACTTAAATCCATAAACCCAATTTAAATCCCTAAGCAATAGTAAATATTTTAAATATTGACGCAATTAAACAACTTCGATGGACAAATTGATGCGAAAATACCATATGTGTGAAAATGATAAATTGAATATACTACATGGACAATGGTTGCCCTTCAGCCTAAATATTTAATATATAATATATATTATTTATAAATTCCGTTTGGTTTAAAAATCGACCGAATTAACCAAATTTTATTCAATTTAATTAAAATTTTTCGAAAAAATATTGATTCGATTAAAGGTTAAAAAATATGTTAATGAATTTTGAGTAGTTCAATTTAATCTATATACGGATTGAATACCCCTAAATCAGACCATGCCAATTGCCCAACACTCAAGGAAGAAACACAGTTAAGCTTACCTTCCTAACCGAAGTCGCTCTGCAAAAACAAATGCAGAGAAGACTGCCACAATCACAACAATTGGGAGTGAACATTGCTGCAAAAATCGATCCTTTTTTTACTGATAAATAACGTCTGACAGATGATTAAATAGTCACTTTTATCAGTATTCTTTTTCTTTGGAACATTTTAGCTCCAACGTTTCAATTTGAATCAAAAAAGTTCATCTGTGAATAGAAATCGTTAATCAACAAAGGGTCAACACTCTAAAACGAGGGGCTTTTGCCTTAAAATGAAACGGTAGGAGCCAAAATGCTAAAAAATAAGGACTAAAGTGACTTTTTGGTTAACCGTTATTCTTTTGCCTTAAAATGAAACGTTGGTATTTAAAATGTTAAAAAAATAAAGACTAAAATGACTATTTAGTCAAATGTCAGGAACATTTTTGTCCTAAAATAAAATGTTTTGATTAAAATAGCAAAATTTCTTAGAAAATGTGGTGTGAAAAAAGAATGACTCGTATGAGGTGCAGAGAAATTATTTTTCTCAACTAGGGTGGAATGGACAGTGTAAGGAAAAAACGATCAAACCATCTGGCATCTTCAGAAAGACACTTGGAAGACACAACGTCTTTTGAATTGGTTCTTTAATAAATTGGATGTCCAAACTACATGCAACATGAGAAGACATCATGTCTTCCAAACGTCTTCTCAAAGACGTCAAATAGTCCGATTGTCTTTTTCCATCCACCATTTATTACATCCTAATTGTAAAAATAATTTCTCCAACATCCCATTTCCTTCCTTCCAAAGCATTGCCCATCAAATTGGCCAGACCAGAATACTCAAAATAAATAACTAGAGATGATGGTACACTTACACAATAGATGATGGTCAAATGCTGCACATTCCACTCCAGCTTCCAGAGGAGAGGATTTCTTGCAAAGAACCAGGCAAGCACAGAAGATTGCAACGATGCAATGAAGCAAATCAAAACATTCAGCGATAATTGTATATATTTTGGATACTGTAGTCTGTGAACCGGGGCGACAACATGATTCTATATTAGAAGGGGTTAACTTATAAAATTCTAAGGAAAAACGAAAACATATTTTCAATAGAAAATACATAAAAAAAAATCTAAAATATATAGTAAATTTAAATTTACAGGGCGACCTCCCCCACCTGCTCCCACTTAGGTCCATCCCTTACTGTGAAGTATATTTTTTTTCATCAGTCTTAGAGTCTTTGTAATAAACTTTCAACCATTTGATAATAAAACTTGTAGGAATAACAACTATTTCTTTCCATCATTTGCTTGATGGCAAAGGGCGTGATGTAGCAGCAAATCATATTGGATTTCAATGGTCTGAATCAGGCCAATGCGAAATTGCCTCTGCAGCAAGCATGTTGTGGTCCAGTGAACCATCATTTGAAGCAGCATGGGGCTTACAGATGAGCCAAGTCCCTCCGGATGGATTCTTTAACATCACCACTTGTTCGACTGCTATATATACATGGCTGCTTTTCGGGATAACGGGCTCGACGATAGACTTGTCGTATTCAGACCGGTATACGATGGAGTTGCAAATGAACATGAATAGAATAACAAATATGGTAAGCATGCCAATGTCTCATATTTAGGATGTTAGTCATAATTTAGGGATGAAATTAAAACATTCAAAAGTTTAGAGTCTAATTTAAAATGAGGATCATATTTTGAGTACATATGATGCAATTAACTCTGCATTTCACAACTTAATTATTCTTTAAATTTGTTTTATAACACATTCAAATATATGTGACGAATTTGTATCTTTTAAAACTATTAAAATTGCACAAACGTCACTAAAGAGTAAAATATGATCATATAAAGAGAGTTAAAAACACAACCAAATAACTAAAAAAAATACAAATAAAAATTAATATCGACAATGAAGGATAAATATCATTAATAAATGCATATCAAAATGATGATACGTTGATAAGTTGACTTTATCATAACTCAATCGTGATCAATCCTTGA